TTCTGCGCTGGCGACTGCCCGGCCTGCGCCCTGGAAGTATGCCGTCTCGGTCTGAGCGAGGGAGATAAAGATGTTGCTGGCGTCGACAATGTTGTACTGGTACAGCACAGAGTGCTCGGACGCGCCGCCGTACATCCACACGGGCCCCTGCTTCGACTCGACAAGGATTCCGCGCCCGGAGAGAAGGTTGACCTGGGCGCGCTCGCCGTAGTCGAGATCGTGGTCTGCCGTCCACACCCACATGTTTTCGATGTATGCGCTCGAGTTGGCGGTGAGATGGAGGTTGATGAAGCTCGCACGACACTGCTCGCTCAATGGCTGCTCTCGCGCGCACTTATCCGCCTCAAGGTTGGTGCCGGCAAATCCGCCGACCCTGATGTGGCTGTCCCAGACGGCGGCGGAGCCTTGCTGTCCGTCCAATTCTCGAATGTTCCATTCGACAACGATGGCGCCGGCTGCAGGCCCTCGTGTGGAGAACACCATGTCCGAGATCTCGATGACGCCAGAGTCTCCCGGCGATCCTACGCGGATGACGGGCTGGGGATCCGAGCCGTTTTGGAAAAGCGGCCCACCGCCCATGAGGACGGGCCAGACTTCACCCACCATCCTTGTGCCTGGCGGCAAGGTGACCGTGGATTCGAGGTAGTAGGTGCCGTGGGGCACGTAGACGATCTTGCTACCAGCGCTACTATCCAAGATCTGCTGTAGCGCCTTCGAGTCGTCGGTGGTGCCGTCTCCAGCACATCCGAGTTCCTTGACGTTGACAAAGTCTGAGGCAGCGGCTCCTTGGTATTGCGGCCGACTCCGGCTGAAAAAGGGCTGCGAAGGCTTGCTTGCATCGACGAGCGACGAAGGGCGCTGAATGTCGATGTCCGAGATGGTCTGTGCCTGGTCGAGCTGCTGCTGGCCCTGCACGACTGCGCCCTGAACCCAGCTCTTGATGACCGAACGCTCTTGCGAGCCATCGAGAAGCACTGCCTGCGCGTTTGCACCGCCAGCGCTGACAGCCGCGCGCACATTCTCGATAGCAATGTTGTCGAGAACGACGGTGCCGGAATCGGGGGTGGTGATGTTGAAGGCGGTATCGACGTTGCTGAGGGTCCAGTCGTAGGCCAAGACGGATGCGGCGCCCTGGTTGCCCGAGGCTGGATTTGGACTTGTGCGCATCTCGTAGCCTAGAGTGCAGTTGGAGATTCGAATGTCGTGGTAGGACCAGCCCCAATTCCATGCCTGCGAGATGGCGGTCTGGCAATTCTCGAACGTAGCGTTACGGACGGTGAACTGCTGGTTGCCGAGATAGGCGCCGTATCTGCCGCCGCGGAAGGAGAGATCGGCCATGAAGCCACCGCTGCCATTCTCGATGAAGATGCCCTGCTGAGCGTTGCCGTCGGGGTCCTGGCGCATCTCGACGTGGACGTTGAAGAGGCTCGTGGCCTGGCTGACCTGGTGGTGGATGCCCGTGCCAGAGGAGGCAGGCATGTTGGTGAGGTCGATTTTGAAGTTGTAGACGGCGCGGAAGAAATTGTTTTGGTTGATGTACCAGTTGGAACCGTCGGGGCCGTAAGGATCCTCATCGATGACGGCTATACCCTGGAAGGAGGGAGCGGCGAGCAAGGTAGGGCGGTCTGTAGCACTTCCTACGAGCTGAGTGTAGTAATAGGAGACAATCGGAGACGAGACAAGATAGATGCCGGGTGGAAAGTAAACGAGAGCAGGGGAGATGGTGGAGCTGCCGCAGCCTTGGCCGCATCGGTTGCCCTGGCTGATAGCCTGGTTGATGGCGTCTGTGTCGTCGGTTACTCCACTAGTTCAGCAAGAGAGAGGGCGTGCATAGTCAGAGTGCATGCTCAAGAGGGCGTTTCGTGTCGGATCTGGGAATAGTCGTACTCACTCGCCCTTGGCTCCAAAGTCTCGGACGTCGCGGAAGACCTTGTAGGTGTTTGGGGTGGGGTTGTAGGTGGCGGAGCCATTGTGATCGACGAGTTCGAGCCAGAAGGTGGAGTTGACCTGGGCGGCATTGTTTTGTCTTGAGGAGGAGGAGGAAGGAGGCATGGTGTCGTTGAGTGTGAGCTGCCAGCCGGCTTGGCTGATCTGGTCTCCAAACTGGTCCGAGAGGGAGTCCTGGAGGATCCTGGTGAGGTTTGTAGCGTTTTGAAGGTTTGCCCAAGCGACCTGGCTCTGTTGGAGCACCTGTGCGATGCCGTCAAAGAGATTCTTACCTGCCTCTGCGATGCCGGTGAGACCGCTAGCTGTGACCTGGAGCACCTTGGGCAACATGTATTGGGCAGGGCCCAGCTGCTGTTGGTCGAGCAGTTGCAGGGGCGCAGGGTCCAGGTCGAGAAACGCCGACGCGTCTCGCTTGACAGGGTCCACATCCAGAGAGGCCGAGTCAAGCTGGGCGTCTTGGGTGGTCGCGGCTTGATGCTGCTCGAGAAACGACTCTGCGGCTGCCCTGGCGATGGCATCTAGGCTGTGAGGAGAGGGCGCCAAAGCCTGTTGCTGTTCAGAAAGAGGCTGCTGCAAGTCTACGGTGTTGGCGAGAGCGCAGGCGCAGAGCAACAGCAAGAGCAGCAGTCGAAACATGATGATGGTGACTGAAGAGGCCGTGAGGCGAGCGCTGGCTCTAGCCGATGGCGTGCTGGAAAGCGTGCAGGCAGGTCAAGGTGCGGGTTGCGAGATAAGACGAAAGACTGGTAGTGATGGTGGAGAGCCATCAAGGGCAACTTGCATGAGGAGGCGGTTCTTTTCAGGGCGCGATTGGAGCTGCCGAAGGCTGACCGAGGTCCAGGGTCGATAAGAGACTCAAGCGCATCTTTGTCAGTCTGAGGCAAACTTGGCATGGTCAGCGACTGGATTCCGACGAAGCAGGCAGGAAAGTTTGTCTGCATCGAACGACAACAAGCGTTGCAAGCCGATCGAAGTCGCGACGCCGTGAGCCCAGGCGCAAGCATGGTCTTGGCGAAGGTCTGCGAGCCGCATGGACGCCGCGATGCCGGCCACCGCATGGCGAGCGGGAGCGGCGTGATGGGAGCGGCGAGTGGGTGGGGGGTGCCAATCAGCGCAACATGTCACTTTCTTTTCAGACGGCCGAGCTTGGCGGCACGCGTTCCGGGACTCGACTGCATTTACTCTGAAAATCTATGAAGCGCCGAAACGTCACTGATCGCCCAGGGCCGGCGAGGCAACCCTAGCTAAAATCGACGTCCGTTTGCTCGGGTACGGTGAAAGCGAGCTTACCGGTTTGGAGGCCCTGCAGAAGGTTTCGCAGACAGACGGCCTCCATCTCGGTCTGCGTTTCGAGGGTGAGGGTGCCGACGTGCGGGAGGAGCTCGACCTTGGAGTCCTTGAGCGCCAAAAGCTGCTCGTGGATCTTGGGCTCTGCTTCAAAGACATCGAGGCCGGCGCCGGCGATGACGCCCTGTTCGAGGGCTTGGGCGAGCTCTTGTTCCTTGACGACGGGACCACGGGCGGTGTTGATGAGGATGGCGGATTTCTTCATCTTGTGAAGCTGGTGTGTGCCGATGAGGCCCTTGGTGGCGGGAGTGAGGGGGCAGTGGAGGGAGACGACGTCGGAGCGTGCGAGCAGATCGTCGAGCGAGGCGAAGTACTCCATGCCGCCCTTTGCAGCTTCGGCTTCGAGCTTCGGATCGAGACGGTTGCGGTTGTGGTAGATGACCTTCATGCCGAGCGCGTGCGAAGCCTTGTAGGCGAATGCGCGACCGATGCCGCCAGCGCCGACGATGCCGAGCGTCTTGGCACGCGGATCGTGGGCTTCGAGGAAGGGGAAAGCCGAGTTGAAGCTGCCCTTGTCCATGTGGGCGCGTGCGAGCGGGAAGCGTCTGATGGCGCCGAGGAGGAGATAGAGGGCGACGTCCGAGGTGGCGTCGTCGACCGCGGTGGGGACGTTGGAGGCCTGGATGCGTCGTTGGGAGAGAGCGGCGACATCGAGCTGGTCGTATCCTGCGCCGTTGTGCACGATGTATCGCAAGCTCTTGGGCAGCTGCTCGACGAGCTCTTGGTCGAAGCGACCGGTGATCTTGACGGAGCGCGCTGCGCCAAAGTGACGATAGATGCCCACCACGTCGGCATACTCTCCGCCCGTCTTGAACTTTTGGATGAGCTCGGCGCGCGTCGTTGCGCTCGATTCGATCACCGTGGCGGCGTTGGAGAGCTGGGCGAGCTGCGACTTTGCCAGCCTCACCTCGTCCAGCAGCAGCACCTTGTGCTTCTGCGCCACAACGCGGCTGGTGGAGAGCAGCCGGCTCGATGCCGACGCCTGCGCTCGTAGCAGGCGAGGTGCGCCCGTCGTCAACTGGCCTATCAGAATGTGCATCGCTCGATCCGATCCCGAGGCAATCAGTGAGGGGTCAAGGTGGTTTGGTACAAGCATGAATCCAGTCTCGAGCCCGTGCGCTTCCGGCCCTCCTCTCCTCTCCACACCTTCGGAAGAGCCGCGGGGTGGAGGCGGGTTTTCATCTGTCAGCATGACTCGCCGCCACCACGTTGGTCCGGAAGAGCCGCCCCATCTTTTCAAGGGTCCTTTTTCGGCTTTTCAGCGCAAAGTCACACCGGCGCCTTTTTTTTTCGCGTCTTGGCCGTGGGTGGCAGTTGGCTGCGGGCAAAATTTCGCGTCAATAATAACTCCACACACACGCAGCGGTTCTTCGAAAGCCGCGGTGGGAAGTTTTGATCTTTGGGCTGCGCGAAATCTTGCACCACGACCATCACCACCACCACTGTGCCATCTGCTCGCCCTTTAGAGTGGCCCTTCAAGCCACTGATCTCGCTGACATCGTGCTCCATCATTGCCACCCTCTACCGCCATACTGCGCCGCTTCTCCGCCATCAGAGGGCTGCCATGGCTGGCTCGCATTCGCACTCCTAGCACCCGCATTCAACTGTCTACCTCGACCCCCTCTGCCAACTCGCCAGCCAGCCGCCGCCCTCAGCACGCTCCGACCTCGAATCCAGATCGCACTAGCATCGCCCACTTCTTCCTCATGAAGCGCCAATACCCCGCCGCCACCGCCAAGCCCGCCAGCGCCAAGGGCGCAGGCAGCAACTGGAAGGCGCTCAAGAAGACGCTGCAGCCCGAAGCTTCGTCATCCACCTCCACTACATCCCAACTAGGCCGCCGCAAATCCCACTCGTTCCAGCCCAGACCAAAGCGGCCAAAGCTCCATGACGACGTCTCGCCCAACGAGTCCGGAGGCAGCAAGTCCTCCAGCCCGGCGCCGACCTCGTTACCCTGGTTTGCCGAGGACATTTCGCCACAGGATCTCGAGCTCGTCCGTCAGAGCGCTTCCGACAAGATGTCCCGCAGCGGACAGTGGGAGGGTATCATGGATGCGGAACTCAAGAAGAAGGTCATCCTAGGCGGCCTGCCCTCGGACGCCAATCCGGCCAAGAAGGAGCCGGGCAACTATCTCGCCATCGACTGCGAGATGGTCGGCGTCGGCGACAAGGGCTCCGAATCCGTACTCGCGCGCGTCTCCATCGTCAACTTCCACGGCGCCACCATCATGGACCGCTTCGTGCGTCCACAGGAAAAGGTGACCGACTACCGCACCTGGGTCTCGGGCGTTCGTCCCAGGGACCTCAAGGGCGCACCTTCCTTCAGCGAGGTGCAGGGCGAAGTGGCAGCACTCATCAAGGGCAAGGTGCTCGTGGGGCATGCCATCCAGAACGATCTCAAGGCGCTCTTGCTCTCGCATCCCAAGCCGCTCACGCGCGATACTGCCACGTTCCAACCGCTGCGCGACTTGGCAAAGACAAAGTACCCCAGTCTCAAGAAGCTCGCCAAGCTGGTGCTGGGCATCGACATCCAGCTCGAGGGCGAGTCGCATTCGTCGGTCGAAGACGCGCGTGCCACCATGGCCGTCTTCCGCAGCCAAAAGTCCAAATGGGACGAGGAGCTGCGTGCAAAGGGCCACGGCGGATTCGGCGGCAGCTCGGCCGGCGCAAGGCTCGGCTCGCGTTCGGCACGCACCAACAAGGTGTGGAAGGCTCCTGCCAACGGCCAAGCCGTCGATCCCGCTTCGCCCGCACTTGACAAGCGACCTTTTTCCTCGTCGGCCGACAACAGTCTTACCGACACCGTCCGTCTCAAACCGCGCATGGCCGCCCAGGCCGACTGGTGGAAGGAGTCCATCTGAACATTCCCCCACTCTTTACGCAGCAGCATTTCGTCCATCCCCGTTTTACGTAGCTTCTTGATCAATTGTACTTGTAGACCTTCTCACGCAATCGCCATCCATGCCGCCAGATGCGCGCGTCGCAGGTTCCGGACGTGACGTGGGTTGCAGAGCTCGTACAAGTGGGTCACCACGGTGGCGCGCCGCCGAGAGGCGCGGATCGATGGAGCCAATCTGCGAAGCCGAGATGGTGCAGGTGGCGAGCCGGTTGCCTCGGTGTAGGACGAGACACGTGGGCAGGTAGGAGGGCAAGTCAAAGATTCGGAAGCAGCGACATGATCCTGACCAGGAGGTATCGAGACGGGAAGCCGGTGAGGTCCCGACGTGTCATGCGACGTCCTTCTTTGTGAGGTGAGAGCCGATGAGCTTGGCCATCTCGAACGAGCTGTAGCAAGCAAAGGCGGATGGAACGCAGCGTGAGCCAGAATGCACTCGGGGGCCGCACTACGATAGTTGCGGTGTTGGAACCTACTCTACAGCTTCCTTGCCAAAGATGTCGGTGAGCTTGGCGTCGCAGAGGATCTGAGCGTGTGTGTGTGTGACAGAGAGCAAGAGATGTGTAAGGATGCAAGGCAGTCTACGGGCGGCCAGGAAAGGGAAGGGAAGGGGGCACTCACCTGACGCTTGTTGCTCTCGTTCTGGAGGTTATTTGACTTGATATACGCCCACAGCTGCTTGACTACGGCGTGACGAGGCATCTGGGCGCGAGAAGAGCGTTGTGAGGAGGATGCGGTGAGTATACGGCGCAGCAGCAGGAGCGGAAGGGGCGGACGAGGTTGGCAGCACTTACTTCGTCTCCACCGCAGACGTCTGCGAGCTTTGGAGAGAGGATGAGCGGCCTGTTGAAAGGGTTGTTGGGGTTGGCAGCCCTCTTTTTGCGCGGCTCTTCGTCTTCGTCGTCGTCGTCTGCGGCGGCACGCTTCTTGGTGGCCTTCTTCTTGGGCTTTGGTTCGGCCTTGACCTTGGAACCGTTGGAGGCGGGCGCCGCTTTGGGTTTGGAGGGCGTCGACTTGGCGGGTGCGGGTTTGGCGGCGGGAGCGGAGGGCGGGGTGGCAGTGTGTCCGCCACGAACGCCGCCGAGACCTGGGAGAGCAAGGCCTCCGGATGCGGGTGCGGAGGCGGTGCCGTTGTACGAGTTGGTGGGGGGTTGTGGTGGAGCGGGCATGCCTTTGGAGATGTGGTCGAAGCAGTCGCGGATGACTTCGTCGACGGCCTTCTTGCTTGCGCTGAGGTCGAGGCCTGGGGGCAGAGCGGATGGTGGGAGGGAGGCGAGCTGGGCGCGGACCTTTTTGGCCGAGATGGAGCTGAGGTCGGCGTTGTTGAGGATCTGGATGATGGCGGGACGGAGGATGGCGACGGTGGCCGGGTCGAGAGGATGTGGCTGCGACATGGTTGCAAGAGGGAACGAGTGCAAGGCTCGGTGGTGGGTACAAGTAGTCTGGTGTCGAGTGCGGAAGTGGAAGCGGAAGCGGAAGTGGCAGCGGAAGTGGCAGCGGAAG